GATATTTCAGCTCTGGAGAAAACCAGGAGATGCCTCACCTTGATAGAGAGGGCTCCTGCTGGAGACATCCCTTTCCTCTCCCTGCAGATGTACGGGAAGTGGTACGATGTCGCCATTGGCACAACCTGCAAATGGATGAAGAACTACAAGGAGAAGTTCAGCATGGGCACGCTGGTGCTGGGCCCCGGCTCCAGCGCCGACCAGATCAGCACTGCCAGCACCAGGCTGCGGTATGGGGCACTGCTGTGGGTGCTCGAGCCTCCTCCAAAGCCACACCACCCAGGGGTGCTGCGTCTCCCAGGGGCTGGGACAAGACAGGGGGTTGCTTGCTCTGGCTGGTATCAGAGTGCTGAGGAGGGGCCAGATTGGGCTCAAATACCCAATGCCTTGGGCAGGGGGATTTTGGGGGTCCTGTGCCATGGCCTCAGTGCCCCAGACAAGATTTTAATGCAATAATCAGGAAGAATGATCACTCCAAGCAGCTGAGTGTTTTCCTCCTCCCTCCAGGCAAGGTGACTGCACACACATCTCGGGAGAGTACCAGAAAACCAGCACCCCTGGCAAATACACCTACTACAACCCCAGTAAGTTGGGCTCACTGCCGACCTGCTCAGCCCTGGGAGCTGCGGTGTGGCTGGGTGATGGGAACCAGCTGGCAGCGGGCGAAGGGGTTCAGGAGAACAGGGCTCAGAAGCTACTCCACAGTTTGGGTCATTTCCAGCCAAAGTATGGAGTGAAGTTGAGGGAAAGGGGCTGTTTCCTGTCCTGTGCATAGGCACAGGACTCTGAGATGTTCCAGTAGATCCCTCCTCTCCTCAAAGTCCCAAGCTGGGGCAAGTTACCACCAGCCATGTTTCAGGAGTGTTGGTGGTATCTCAGTTGTCCACATCCCTTGGTTTCCAATCCCCTCAACTATGAAGAGGCTGGTGAGCCTAAAGGGAGTCAGGGTTGTATCAGAATCTGCTTCACAAAAATCAGTTATTTTCTTGAATGAGCTGCCTGATTTCAGCCCCCAGCTCTGGGGCTGTCTTACTCTGCCCTGTTTCTCCCTGAGGGGCAGGAATTACATCCCCTGTGTCTCTGTCTCCCCTAGAATGGGACGTGTCTATCCGGTCCTATGTTCTCCGTACCAACTATGAAGAATACGCCGTCATTCTGATGAAGAAGAACAGTAGCTTTGGCCCAAGCACCACCCTGAAGCTGTATGGTATGTCTGGCTACGGCACTGGTGGGCCAGCAGGTTCTGGGGTGGGCCAATGCAGCTCAGAAACACCACACAAGGGTCCATCAGGTCTCTTGGCCTCAAGAGACCTGACCATGGCTTTGGAAGTGGTGCCTTGGACCAGCTCATCTCTAGCACTGCAGAGGTTGAGTCTTACAGCTCAGCTTAGAGCTACATCACACAATCAACATCCAAACCAGCCTGTTGTTTGGGATGAACGTGCCAATATCTGCTTGGAAGAAACTCAGGCTCTGAACTGGCAGGAGATGCTGCCTCTCATGATTAAGAAACTTTAAAACCACTTTGTCCAAGCCCTTGGTCAAGGCTGGTGAAGAATAATGGAGGAGAGGTTGGGTAGGACCAGGAGGCTGGTACTGGGCCTGTCTGCAGCTGCCTGAGCTCTGTGGGTCAGTGGGTGGTTGGGGGGCTGCATGCAGACCACCTCCCATGCCAACCCTGTTCACAGCCTGTTCCCTTGCCCAGGGAGGAGTCCGGAGCTGCGGGAGGACCTCATTGAGGCTTTCCAGCAGCTGGCTCTGGAGGTGGGCATCCCCATGGACTCCATCTTCATCCTGGCCAACAGAGGTAACCCACCATGAGGCATGTGCTTCTCCTGCTGCCTGTCCCCCTGGCCTGCCGTGCACTGAGGCTGCTCCTTCTTGGTGTGCGAGGTCGGGAAGAAGGGGGACAGTAAGGATGGAGGAGAGATGAGGGCTTTGGTAGGACAGGAAGGAGATAAGGCCACGTATCAGTCAGGCTTCCACCAGCTTCCAGTCAGTGGGGTCTTTGCTGGGCTGTCAGGTCAATGCACCCCACAAGGCTGTGCTGGGATGAGAGTGCAGGACACCCAGGGACACTCATGACTTCTACCCATGGCTGGATGCTCCCAGGACCTGAGGAGATCCTTGCTCAGCCTGGGGTTCAAAAGGTGTTAACATGATTCAGGTGGGGGTGGGGATTTTGGGGTGATGCTCCTGCGAGTGGGAGGTAGAAAGCAGCAAGAGGAGAAGAACATTGGGGTGAAACTGGGAGGGTGTCCCCTTCCCCGGGGTCCTGTGTATGCATGGTGCAGGACCACAGTGAGAGGCGTTTGTCAGGACACCACCCCTCTTACGCTGCTGATCTTCTCTCCTGTCATCTGGGCCAGGTGAATGCATTCCTCAGGAGACTGCAACTGCCCCCCAGGTGAGTGGTCCAGCCAGGACCTCCTGAGATGGATCAAGGCTGGGGACATCCCCTTAAAGCCAAACCCACTGGAGACCTGGTATCCAGGGACCAGGATCCATGGGCAAGACACGTTGTTTGGGCAGCAGCTCCACTGGCCACCCTGAGAGATGCTCTTTCATCTCCACTGTTGGGCTTTGCCTGTAAGGATGGGGGCACAGGCAGGCAAAGGCTGCAGAGTGAGGGTCCTGGGGGCCAGGTGGGCACTAGGGCTCCTTTCCAAGCAGAAAGCAACAGTCCTTTCCTACTCTGATTTTTTTTCACGGGGTGAAAGTTGTTGCACGGGGAGTCTGGTGTCTCCTTGCTCCTCGCCTGGCTGTGGGTGCCCCACCCAGGGTG